AACTACAATTATATAATCTTCAACTCAGTCAAAGATCTGAGAAGGGAATAAACACTACTCAACAAACGAGATATATCCAAAATGTGCAACAATTGACAGAGACAACTGACTACCTGGGCAATCACCCAAAGTCTCGTTTGCAACGTTGAGTCAACCAATTTTGGCTAAGGCCTAACATAACTGACATACCATTATTAAAGGCAAGGAACTTTTCAAAACTATCTTACCCTGTCTTGGCAGGATATGACAGTCCTGTTTTATCCATTGATGCACGCTCTGTATCTGTGTCAGTGGTTGAGGTATGGGCATTTCTTTGCCCAAAGGCCAGTTCTGCCAAATAGAAAGGCTCCAGATGGAGTGTTTTTGGTGCTCAACATTCTCTCGGGAATAGAGCAGTGCTGCCAGGAGCAATTGTATCTCACTATCAGGAAACTCTGAGTTAGATTAAAGGCCATTTTCTACAGCTCTTTGAAGAGGTTGAAGATTATCTAACTATACTGAGTATAATCTCTATATATCTAAAGAACCTGATTAGTCTAATTATAAATGACAAACTTAGATGACAATTAGTCTATATAATTCTCAATATCTATCTAACTTAAAGACTAAGACAATAAACGACCTTGAAACAAATGAGGACAATGACCTCCAAATATAAACAATGTACAAATATACATTGCAGTAGGTAAATATATATCAATACACAAATATTATATAAGTATCTTAATCAGAGGTAGAAATGTACACTGCAATATGGTAAATATATACAATATATATATATATATATATCAATACAATATATGTCAATACATAAAAATGTTTTAAACAGAGGTAGAAACATGCATGTGTACAATATTCAATATAATTTAACTTTGTATCAATATACAAGAATCTATACCAATATATTTGTCTATTATCCCATCATCCCTCTTTTTTTGTTTCAAAATGATCCCTGAGCTTATAAAATTCCTCCCCCAACCCTCAATCATATACTAATTATAATCAACCCCTAAATGATGTCCCTAAACCCAAGGGCAAACGTTACTGGGAGAGGGGACGTCGTTCTCTAGAATTACTTCCAGCTGTCATAGGGGCGACGTTCTTTCTGGGGGATCCTGTGAAAGTAAAATGATGGTTAAATTTCAAGATAATGTCTTTTAAAATTGCAAATAGTCTCTGAGTATTTTCGTGCAGGTCTGGCCAAAATGTTGTATTAGATGTGCACCATTTCAGCTAACCAAGTTGGAACTGTCTTGTGCAGCTGGTACCCAAAGCAGGTCTTGTAGTAGCGCTATCAGTATCATGACGTCATATCAACCAGGTGGAGTTGTTGTTATGGGGCCCCATCTTCTTCCTGGAAACTTCAAATGTCACTTCAGGAAAAACTCATTGTTCATTATGAAAAACTTAAACATTAATCATATAGACATATATAGACATATATATATATATTCAATGAAAGACATGATAGATATATTCAATGAAAAGTATGATAGATATGAAGAAAAGCAAAGATGTTTTCTAAACTCATATTTCTTTCTGTCCCATATCATGGCTCTTGACATGAGACAGAAACTCCAGAAACTCTGGGTTTTTCTCTTACTAACAGGCTTGGAATTGGAGAGGGACTGAGCCAGAGTCCAACTTCAAAACCAGCTTTATAAATTTAGAAATATGGTTTAATATTACTTACACAACCCATTCAGTTTTCTTGATATTTCCTATTGGGCAGGTATTTTTCCATCTGTCAGTATCCAAACATCCAGGGTCCCTTGAATTTCTCAAAGATGAGTGTTTTCCTGTGGAGATAAGAACAGAACCCTGCCCCCATTCTATATGTTTTTCTTACCACCTGTATGAATATCATCATTGTGGATGAGTTGTCATTTCTCCTTTCCAAGAGGTTTCTCCTCTTCAAATCGAAACTTTATTAATTTTGATGGTATCCACAATTTTTCTTCTCCTGTGGAAACAAGCGCAAAACCCCTTCCCCAACGTAGCACATCTCCTGGCTTCCCCTGAGAGGTCAGCACATCTTTGAAATAAATCGGTTGATTTAGTTCAGCAGACTTTTCCATTATCCAATGTCTTTCTGCTGCTGTCGTTCCTTTCTCATTAGCATTAAGAAAATTCAAGGTTAATAAAGCATTATGTAATCTATTTCTGGGGGTATTTTCAGTCCCTTTCTGTTTGTTCAGCATATCCTTTATAGTACGATTTGATCTTTCTATAACTGCCTGGCCTGTAGGATTATTTGGTATACCTGTAATGTGTTTTATATTATAATAATCAAAAAACCGTTTCATTTTCTTAGATACATATGCTGGACCATTATCTGTCTTTATTTGCGCAGGTATACCCATGATGGCCATAACTTCCAATAAATGTGTGATTACTGAATCAGCCTTTTCTGAGCTCAGGGCAGTAGCCCATTGAAAACCTGAATATGTGTCTATGGTGTGGTGTACATATTTTAATTTGCCAAATTCTGCAAAGTGGAACACATCCATCTGCCAGATTTCATTCCTTTGGGTGCCCTTTGGATTAGCCCCTGCAGGCAGTGGCGTTTGGTTATAGAAAGAGCAAGTAGGGCATTTCTTTACAATCTCCTTAGCTTGTTGCCATGTAATTGAAAACTCTTTCTTCAAACCTTTGCTATTAACATGATGTTTTTTATGAAATTCAGAGGCTTGTAGCACACTACCAATCAATAATTGATCAATTTCTGCATTACCTTGTGCTAGAGGACCTGGCAGACCCGTATGGGATCGGATGTGTGTTATGTACATAGGGCAAAGCCTGTTCCTGATCAAATCTTCAACCTGGAGGAACAATGAGGTTAGTTCAGTATCATCAGGTATAAATTCTGCAGTTTCAATATGTAAAATAACTCTTTCCGCATATTGTGAATCTGTAACTATATTAATAGGTTCTTTAAAATCCCTTAGCACCATAAGAATGGCATATAATTCCGCCTTCTGGACAGAATTATACGGACTTTGTTCCACCTTATCCAAGTCTTCTGATTTGTAACCTGCCTTCCCTGATTTATTGGCATCAGTATAGAATGTACGGGCTCCAGTTATTGGAGCATCACGGACGATTCGAGGAAGAATCCAAGAGGTTCTCTTTATGAAGTTAAGCCTCTTGCTTTTTGGATAGTTGTTATTAATGTCTCCCAAAAAATTAGCACAAGCTCTTTGCCATGGTTCATTATCTTCCCATAATTTCTTTAGTTCATCAGCAGTGAAAGGCACTATAATTTCTGCTGGGTCTATGCCTGCTAGTTGACGAAGTCTCAGCTTGCCTTTTATAATTAACTCAGAGACTTTTTCCACATAAGTTTTCAGTTTCTTACTTGGTTTATGTGGTAAAAAGATCCATTCCAAAATAATATCATCTCTCTGCATTAAAATTCCTGTAGGAGAAATTTTTGATGGTAGTATGACGAGAATACAATCGAGCTCTGGATTCACCCTGTCCACATGTGCCTGTTGTAATTTTTCCTCAATCATTGTCAGTTCCTTTTCTGCTTCAGCTGTTAATTCTCTGGGACTGTTTAAATCTTTATCACCATCCAAGGTTTTATTCAAATGAATTATTAGATCAGGTGTTATTCTAATAGCTGGTCGTAGACTGGAAATATCTCCTAACAGCCTTTGAAAGTCATTAAGAGTCCGTAGGCGATCTCTCCTAATTTGTGCTTTTTGTGTCTTAATTTTTTGCAAACCTATTTTATAACCTAAATAATTAACAGAATCTCCCTTCTGAATCTTTTCAGGAGCTAATTGCAATCCCCATTTAGGTAAAAGTATCTTTATTTCTTCAAACAGTCTATTCAAGGTATCCATGTTTGAATCGGATAACAAGATGTCGTCCATGTAATGGTATACTATAGATTTGGGAAATTTCTTGCATATTATTTGCAATGGTTGGTTCACAAAATATTGGCACAGGGAGGGGCTATTTAACATACCCTGGGGGAGAACTGTCCAGTGGTACCTCCTCGAAGGTTGAGAATTGTTATAAGTAGGCACTGTGAAGGCAAATTTTTCTCTATCTTCTTTTTGCAAAGGTATAGTGAAAAAACAATCCTTTAAATCAATAACTATGAGAGGCCATCCTTTCTTTTAGCTTGTGATGTTCTAATGGAATGGACTCTGACTTCTGCCACAAGCTCTCCAAAGAGCCAAGGAACTATAGTGTTTCAGGATGGTGAGGTCTTGGTTAAACAGACACACTTCGGGTCAAAGGAGACTGAGGCAGTCCTTGCTAAACAGTAAAGATGACTGTCCTTTCTCAACAGACCCGGGACAGGTGTCATTGAATTTGATGCCATTTTAGTTTTCTATGCAGTGTTCCAGGGAGGCGAAGGAAAGCCTTTGTGTATGTCTGTGACTTTAGCCGAGAAGGGGAGTCTAGTACCTTTTCTGTGTTGCCTTGAATTCTCAGGGGATTGAGGAACTTGGTCTGCAGAGGCAATAGTGTGATGAGGAGATAGGTCAGGTCAGCATAGCAAGGAGTCCGGGACCACCAGGAGTTAAGATAATGATTCTGAGTGAGAACTGAGGGTACAACCTCCCTCCCTCCCTTTCTAGGACTGCTTCCTTTCCCATGCTGTCAGCTTGTAGATTCCCTGAGGGATGTGGTACATCATCTCCTCTATCTTAGTGATCTCAAAGCATTGCTCAGAGGAACAAACCGTTGCCAGATGTAGGGCCCATGGGTCTACCCCTGCTCCCGGGCTTCATTTTGAGGACAGTTTCTGGTCAGTCAGCTAAAACATCCTGTTTGTTCATGTGCTCCCTCTGCCCTGCCTGGTAATTAGCTATAGGGCATTGTTGACTCCACTTTGGGCGTGGTAATTTCCCACCTGCCTGGGGGGCATTCCATTGTGCAGCAGGTAGGTATTTAAGGTTTTCCCTAAATTTGAATAAATGGCATTCAGCTGACCTCCTTTCGAATGACCTAGGTCTCTTGTGTATTCTTTCATTCTCCAGCTCACTTACAGTAGGTACAGTGGTGTGTGAACTGTACCAAGGGTAATGCAGAAGCAGGTGTTACAGTTGGAGACCCATCAGTGAGATCGGGAAGTAGGGGACCCCTGAGAGATCGCCCTGGGAAGGCTGGCCAGCAGGTAAGAAATTGATTGGTGAGTGTGAATTGAAAATGGGTGCAAGTAATTCTGTTCCAGTATTGACAGCTGATTAATGGGCCAGTTATTAGTTCTTTTAAAGAAGCAAGGCAAGGAAGGCACTGGTATTAAAACTAGACAGCACAAGAGTTCTTTAAGACAGTTTTCTTTTGTATAAGGTAGTTTATTGCCTAATTTTTTGAGAGAGTTTAGTCCCTGGTTTCTACAAGCAGGGGGCTTTAATATTTCTGATTGGGAGAAGGTAAAATTAAAAGAGCAATTAGAGTATTTGACCAAAACCTTTGAGGAGATTCAGGGTGTAGAATCTGTGAGTTCTATTAAGAGTTTTGAGGAGCAGGAAGTTAAGAGTTATAAAAGGGATATAAAAGAGAAAAAAAGACACTTTAGAAAAGGAGATTGCACTGATAAGAAAGAAGTTAGTAAAAGAAGGAAGGCAGCCTGCCTTTTGGGAGGAGATTGTTGTGGAGAGGTGAAATGCAGGAGGATTGCGCTGATGTGGAGAGGTGAAATGCAGGAGGATTGCGCCGATGCGATGGCGTGGTTTTCTGCCAGTGCTGAGACCTTACTTAAAGGGCTCCAATTTGCTGGCAGACTTATTAATTACTGAGCAGGCTCAGCCTCCTTAAGGAGTGCTTATATGTGCTGGAGCATCATCTTCATGGTTTCATGGAGCTAGAGCCAAAGGCAAGCTCAGGTCAATGTCGCCACTTGGTGAGTCCTCTTAGCTATTCCTCTGGAGGATCTTTCAGCACAAATCTGGCAGAACCCAGTGACGGTTGACTAGTGAGCCAATGATGGGAAAGGTTTTTGGGGGGCTGCCCAAACCCAAGACAGGAAGTGTGTTTTGACCTGGATGCTTTCCCATGATGGGTAAGGAGTATTGCCTGACGTCCAATGCCACCTAAGACAGGCCTAGTCATATAATTTATATAAAATGGGGACCTGTAGGGCCCATGGGTCTATCCCTGCTCCTGGGTTTCATTTTGAGGACAGTTTCTGGTCAGCCAGCTAAAATATCCTGTTAGTTTCTATGCTCCTTCTGCCCCTCCTGTTGACTAGCTATAGGGCATTGTTGACTCCACCTTGGGTGTGGTAATTTCCCACCTGCCTGGGGGGCATTCCATTGTGCAACAGGTAGGTATTTAAGGTTTTCCCTAAATTTGAATAAACAGCATTCAGCTGATCTCCTTTTGAATAACCCAGGTCTCTTGTGTGTTCTTTCATGCTCCAGGCCCTTGCCCAGCTCGCATATGGTAGGTCCAGTGGCATGCAAACTGTACCGAGAGTAACGCAGAAGCAGTTGTTACAGCCAGCAGAGGTATAACCCCAGGCTCTGAGGGTTCCGATTGAGAAAGGAGTACATCTCTTATTTAGGAGATGGAAACAAGAGTTTGGTGCTCTTGGATAGCATGTAGGAAAGGCCCTTGACAGATAATACTTAGGGTGGGGTTCCCTTATTTCTTCTTCTTTGTCTCGGGAATGTGAGGTGTTATCCTTAGGGGTTGTCTCAGTCCAACAGCTGAGTAGGATCTAAAACCTTCTATAATAAAAGTAAACTCAAAGGGGGCCCTCCTGGAATTTGGGATTTCCAGCTGCATTGAGTACTTCAGGTTTTATGCAGTCTTCAGTGTGGGAGGTCCTCTCAGCTCATCTTCGAGAGCTGTCAATCAGAAATTGAGCTGAGGGTTCTGATGAGAGTCATCTCCCCTCAAATGACAACATAGAAAAGTCCCAGGGAGTCAAGTAGTCAAGGTGAGAAGCACACCCTGAATGGGCACCAAGGTTACTACCCAAAGCCCAGAACCAAGGGAGTTCCCAAAGTACCCAGACACATACCTCACTGTGGGGCCCTAGGATCTTCCAGTTGCCTATATGCTGAGGACCTTTCTCATATCCCTCTTCAGGTTCCAGTAGGACACACAACAAGGAAAGCAGCTGGCTAGCAGGGCTCTGAGACAATCACCTACAAAGAAGTTTTGTAAGTATACTTTTGTTAGATTCATGAGGGGGTGAGATTTTTTTAGCTGGGCCACTCACAATACTTTTCCCTCTCCCTACTCACCCACTGTCCTGCTTTATACTCCAGCCTACCATCTCCAGCCAGATTCATCATGTCATACTATCCACACTTCAGCCTCTGGAAAGTTTTCCAGGATGCTTTTGAAATATATAGATTAGCTGAGGAGGAGGAGGAGGAAGAAATGGAAGAGAAGGAGGTGGAGGAAGAAGAGGAAGAAACAGAAGAGGATGAGGAGGAAGAGGAAGAAATGGAAGAGGAGGAGGAGGAAGAAGAAGAAGAGGAGGAAGAGGATGAAAAGGAAGAGGAGGACGACGAAGATGAGGCCGAGGAGGCAGGGGCAGCCACTTATAGCGACAGCATCTTGTCTACATCATCTGCCTCTTTAAGATTCACTTTGCCCTCCTTCTGTGCTTCCTCACCTTCCGCTTCCTTATCACATCCTCTGTTTTGGAGCAATCCAGATGAGGCAGAAGAGTCTGCTACCTGGATGCTGAGTATTTCACAGAGTTACCAGAGCTCTTACTCCTTTACTTCACATATCAACTTAGTTGAAGAATATGGCAGCCCAGAAGAAGAGAGTTTAAACACTTCGAAGTTGACAGACGAAGTTTCCGCATGGCAAAATCTCAAAAAGCAAAAGGTCACTGAACTGGTGAATCTCCTGCTCCTGAAATATAGAATGAAAGAACCTATCCAGGAAATGGAAATGCTCGGGGTTCTCACCAAAGACCACAAGAAACAATTCCCTGCCATCTTTGAGGAAGCTGCTAAGTGCTTAGAGATGATTTTTGGCGTTGATATAAAGGAAGATGATCCTGTAAGCAGCTCTTACGTGCTTACCAACACACTAAACCTCACATATGATGACAACAACAGGAGGTTGCCTAGAAATGCCTTCCTGATAGTTATTCTGGGTGTAATATTCATAGAGGGGGACTGTGCCTCTGAAGAAAGCATGTGGGAATTCCTGAATATGTTAGGAATATATGATGGGAAGGAGCATTTCATTTATGGGGAGCCCAGGGAGTTCCTCACTAGAGATTTAGTGCAGCAAAATTATCTGAAATATAGGCAGGTGCCCGAGAGTTATCCTCCACGTTATGTGTTCCTGTGGGGTCCAAGAGCCTACTCTGAAACCACCAAGATGAAAGTTCTTGAATTTTTGACCAAATTTACAAGGAGGGAACCAATGTATTTCTCATCTTTATATAATCAGGCATTGAGAGATGAGGGCTCCAGAAATGGCCCCATGGAGGATTAGTACCATTTTGATAACAACATGGGGCAACCCAATTACTGATTTTAAAAGGGACAGTCAAAATTTTAAGTAAGGGGAGAATGTCAGTGTTAGTCTGGGCCATGCGGAGAACACACTATAGTGCAACTTTGTGTTCTGGTTTTAGATGATGATAATTGGTTCATCTATTTTCTCTTTAGATGTTTTTTTCAGTGCTCGTCTTCATAATTGAAAGTGTGGTCCATTTCCTTTGCAATGCAAGTTTTTGATTACTTACATCTGTTCTTGTACCAGATTTTGAGAAAATGTAGGGAAACTATTCAATGGTCAATCTTTGAGTTGCTTTAATACTTTTAGTCAGGCCGGGTGATGGTGGCGCATGCCTTTAATCCCAGCACTTGGGAGGCAGAGGCAGGCGGATCTCTGAGTTCGAGACCAGCCTGGTCTACAAGAGCTAGTTCCAGGACAGGCTCCAAAGCCACAGAGAAACCCTGTCTCGAAAAACCAAAAAAAAAAAAAAAAAAAACAAACTTTTAGTCAGATCTGTAATGTGTTGGTTTGTTTAAGCAAACAGGAAAAATGGTAATAAAATTTTAAAATCTCTGCTTATTGATTCATTTATTTGCCAAACATCACTTGGATATATTTTTAAAGTTGTATTTATTTTATTTTTATGTGTATGAATATTTTGCCTGAATGCATGCGTGTTTATCACACGTGTCCCTGGTTACCCACAGAGGTCAGAAGAGAACTTCAACTTTCCTGAATCTGGAGTTTGTGGGTGCTGATAACCGAACCTAGTTCTTTGAAAAAATGCTCTTAATACCTGAGCCATCTTATAGTGCCAAGTTAGATTTTTTTTTTTTTGAGCATGCACAGTTATTAGGAGGAGTATGGGGATAAATAACCACATTCCCTTCCTAGAGATGGAATCTGGGGAGATGATTGGAAAGACATAATAAGCAAGAAGAAGTAAATTGGGCTGTGAGGTTTTATTTGTAAATAGCTCAAGTGCAAATGCCCTGAGCCAATGCCAGAGACCTAACTCTTAGTGAGTCTTTGAAAAGAGAAAAATCACAGGATCAAATTAAGTGGTTCTCTGGGGGTTCCAGCTGAAGCAGAGAGAAATCCCTGGCTGATACTTGTGTGGGAAGGCATCCTGGAGGTTCTGCCTTGCTCCATTGTCTGTATTAAGGAATTTTTGTTTATTTGTCTTGGATTTTGAGACAGGATCTCTAGACCAGGCTGGCCTTGAGCTGATCTTCCTGCCTTTACTCCGGAAGTGCTGAGATTAAAGGTGTGCACCACTATACCAGACTTCCATAGAGGTCCCCTGGTAAACCGGGCAAGAATACTTCCGATTGCTACCTAGAGACCACCAGGCGGCCATTCTTTCTTTTTGCCTGGGAGAGCCTGAGACAAGGGATTGTTGTTTGGTCAAATCTAACTAAGATCTAGGATCTGGTGGCAATGTGGCAATATAGTTTAGAAAATATATCCAGAGGATGAGCAGCTGGTAGGGGAGGACCATTTTTTTTTAATTCTAGGCTCTTCATATTTCTTCAGCCTGGGAAGAATGACTCACATCTAAGATAGTTTAGTTTTTAGAGAGAAAGTATCGTGACTTATTTGCAAATCTGTATTTTGGGCTGGTATTTATTGAATCTCCTGTTGAGCATATTTTCCCTCTGAATGAGTATGGGTGAGATCAAATTAATATTCAAGCTCAATTTGAATATTAATTTGTGTCAAAATAATAAAGATAGCATTCATTATATACACAATTATATGCAGACATTTGCCAGTTGTTTATTAGCCTAATTATTACAATGGTCCCACATGATATTAGTGTTGAAGTTAGCTCCATCAAGAGCCATCTTTGGAGTGCTTGGGAGTTACCCTCAAGATCAAGTGATCACATGGCTGGTGAGTGGCAAGACTGGACAGGAGTTCATCTTGGGTCCACATTGTCCTCTTGCTTCCCAGCTGGCATTCTATTTATCTTCTTTTTATAGATAAGGCCTTATGTAGCACAGGCTGTCCTCAAAATTCAGATGTAGCTGAGGATGACTGAGTTTCTGATCTCCCTGCTTCCAGCTCCCAAATATTGGCATTGCAGATGTGAGCCACCTTGCTGTCTTATGCATTGCTAGGGATTGAAGCCAGGGCCTAGTGCACACTAGAAAAGCAGTCTCCTCTCTGAGATACATCACTGGCCCCTTAGTCTCCATTCCCAAATGTCCCCAGATGGCAATGAGGTTGTGTCAAAACAGTAAAGGGCTTGGGAAAACATACTGTATAGCAACTTGTGGGTCATATTCACATATTGGGGGTCATATTTTATCTTCTTGTCTTTCCCCCAAATGTTTCTTGTAATTGAATAGTGGCTTAGCATATACTTGTTTGATTGGGTTTGGGTTTGGCTTTTTAAATTAGGGTTTTCTAGCATAGCGCTAGCTTGTCTGTAACATTCTACTTCTCCATCCTGAGCACTGGCGTTACAGGTGCTTTACAACGTCGAGTCAAGCATATTTTTTTTTAATAACACTAGCCACATGCTGGTTGACATTTTCTTTTTTCAGGCTTAAGAATAAAGTTTTAGGCTGGGAGGTGGTGGTGCACATTTTAAATACTAGCACTTGTTAGGCAGAGGCAACAGATGAATCTCTGAGATCAAGGCCAGCCTGATCTACAGAATGAGTTCAGGACAGCCAGGGCTACACAGATACACCCTGTCTAGAAAAAAAACAAAACAAAACAAAAACTAGTACTTTTCAAGTCAAATTGGGAACTCCAATATGTGTGTGAGTATGTGTTTGTGTATGTGAGAGAGGCAGAGATGCTGATTGGGGAGATCAAGGGAGGAGGGAGAGAGGACTGGGAGAGATAACTGGAATTGAGGGTATTTCATGGGCAAAATAGAAACCCAGTGCAATGGAAACTCCCAGGAATCTATGACCGTGACTCCTTGAAATGGGAGGGGGTACAGAGGCTGAACTGGCCATTTCTTACAACCTGGCAAGGCTTTTGGTGATGGGACTGGAACACAAACCCAGCCACAAAACCTTCAACCTACAGTTTTTCCTGTTTGCTGGGGCAAAAGAGGCACAGAAATTGTGTAAGTGGCCATTCAATGGCTGGTCCAGTATGAGACCCATGCCATGATTGGGAACCTATGTCTGACACTGTGGAGGACCAGGAACCAGTGACTAGATATCCCAATAGCCCAGAAACCCAAGATAGAACCAAACACGCCCAGCAAAAAAAAGTCAATGAAATGATTCCTTATGATATTCTGCTATAGCATAATATATTCTGCCTAGCATAATCATCAGAGAGGCTCCATCCAGCAACTGATGAAAACAGATGCAGAGACCCACAGCCAAACACTAGACAGAGCTTGGGGAAAATCTATTGAAGATGGGGAGGAAGGATTGGAGGAGCCAGAGGGGTCAAGGACAGCACAAGAAAACCCACAGAATCAACCAGCCTGGGCTCTTGGGGGCTTACAGATACTGAACCTCCAACCAGGGAGCCTGTAGGGTTCTGACATAGGTCCTCTGCATATGTAACGATTGTAGAGCTTGGTCTTCTTGTGGGACTCCTGATAGTCAGAGCCCAACTGTCTCAGAAGCTTTTGCCTCCTTTGAGGACCCCACTCCTCATACTGGGTTACCTTGTCCAGCCTTAGTATGAGAGGATGTGCTTAGTTTTGCTGCACCTTGATATGCCATGTTTAGTTGATGTCCCTGGGAAGCCCGCCCTTTTCTGAAAAGAAACAGGAGGAGTAGATGGGGAGTGGGTGTTGGAGGAAGGGACTGGAAGGAGAGGAAAGAGGGGAAACTGCAGTTGGGATGTAATATCTGAGAGAATAAATTCTAAAAATGAAACTTCTTAGTGTATTGGGTTTTTTTTTTCTGTTTCTTTGACCAGATACTGTACAGAAAGCAATGTAAGAGAGAAACAATTTATGGTGGCTTAAGATTTAGGGGGTGGAGGGCATCAGGGCAGGGAATCCTGGGTAGCAGGTGAGATTTCCAGCTGTGGTGACAGGAATTTGCCTGATGTGGGAGAGTCTTCTGTTTTGTGTTAATTTCATTGGTTAAATAAAGAGACTGCCTTAGCCCTTTAATAGGACAGAAAATTAGGTAGGTGGAGTAAACAGAATAGGATGCTGGGAGAAAGAAGCCCAGTCAGAGAGTCGCCATGATTCTTCGCTCCAGACGGATGCAGGTTAAGATCTTTCCTGGTAAGCCAGTTCGTGGTGCTACACAGAATATTAGAAATGGGTTAGATCAATATGTAAGAGCTAGCCAATAAGAGGCTGGAACTAATGGGCCAGGCAGTGTTTAAAAGAATACAGTTTCCGTGTAATTATTTCAGGAAAAGCTAGCCATGTGGGCAGCCGGGCACCAGGAACGTAGCCCGCTGCTCCCCATACAACATTTGCCTTAGTGGACCAAGAAGCAGGGAAAGGAAAGTGCCGGCCTCCTTTTGACTGCCTTCTTTCCCCCTTTTAACTGTCTTCATTCCCCCTTTTAATTCAGGATTTGGAATGTTTATGCACTCTTCCATGATATTATAAAACTTCCCTAAAATTATCTGTATCTGTCTCCTCCCCATGTTTTCTTCTGATGCCCCTGCCTGAGGTATGTGTATTGGTATTTACCTTTACTTTCTTTACTCGATATTCTTAACTTTGTATACAGGTGCATGTGTGTGTGTCCACACACGAGTGTATGTACACACACACACACACACACACACACACACACACACACACATTTTCAGTCTCACATCTGTGATGCAGGTTGTTTTAAGACTCTAGTCATGGCATCAGTGTTGTCCAAGATGAAGCTCACACTCAGATAATTGCTCTGATTATCTAGTGAGTCTGCTTTAGGCAGTGACTCTAATGTCTCTCTTATAAACTCTTTACCTAATGAGTGTTTTTTCACTTAGTGCCTTGTGTGTCTGCGTGATCATCTGATCAATATAACAGAGCCCCGTGTCTTAGAAGACAACAAGCAGATTCTGCTCGGGATAGTGAGAAACACAAAACTGGTGCTTCCCTTTCAGTTCTGTTTTTCTCAGCTTCTGTCTAATATAGAGGGACAGTTTTACTTCTGCATATGCTGTTACCTTGGATCCATTTTTGCCTCTTTTTACTGCATCCTGTTAATTATCTCTGATGACATTTCTCCAGCAAGGAGAGCTTCCTTTATATTTACCATTGCAGGTATAATTTCTGGTGCTTTTCATTCTTTCTGTAGATCTATAGTTCTACCTTTTATCACTTTCTCCTTTGCCTGGAGGCTTTACCATTTCTTGTGGTCATCAATTGGTGATGAAAAGGCTTGGTATTTGCAAAAGTAAAAACCACCACCAACAAAAGGACCCACAAGTCTTCATTTCACCATTCGTCTTGAAATACAGTTTCATTGAGTATAGAAATCCTTGGAGCCAATATAC